TATATATATATATATATATATATATATATATATATATATATATATATATATATATATATATATATATATATATATATATATATATATATATATATATATATATATATATATATATATATATATATATATATATATATATATATATATATATATATATATATATATATATATAATATATATATATATATATACATAATATATATATATATATATATATATATATATATATATATATATATATATATATATATATATATATATATATATATATATATATATATATATATATATATATATATATATATATATATATATATATATATAATATATATATATATATATATATATATATATATATATATATATATATATATATATATATATATATATATATATATATATATATATATATATATATTATATATATATATATATATATTATATATATATATATATATATATTATTATATATATATTATATAATATATATATATATATATATATATATATATATATATATATATATATATATATATATATATATAAATCTTCACCTTTAAATTATATGACAACTTATAAAACCAGCGTTGAATGTAATGAAACGCCATTTTCTGGGCGAGTCCCGGAGGCTCCCCTGAGCTATCCAAGCTGATATGAATATATTAGCTTTCTGGCATCAGTCAACATGCATGGAGTTATTGCCTACTAAGGACCACGAGCCAGAACCTGGCCCCCTCAGGTATGCAAGAGGAGCAATAGCCTTAGGATACCCCTATGTGGTTGGGAGCATTCTATGTCTGCCATCGACCAGGTCTGGCAGCCAGAAAGGTCGGCTACCAAAAGCCGAACGAGTGGACAGAACTCCCCAAATAAAAATTAGCAAACAGGCATGATGTCATCATGTTACCGCACCGCTGTCTGCAGAACCCCCCCCCCCCATCCTCCCCGAGAAGGGGAAGTGGGAAGCCCCAGATCCTCACACCGGCGATCCACCCTTCAGTTCTTTGGCTGGATGTCAAAACATGCGGAAAACACCACCGACCATTGGAAGGGATGCCGGGAACCTCCGGGACTCTCCCAGAAAATGGCTTTTCATTACATTCAACACTGGTTTTCTGGTGGGAAGCCCCTTCGGCTCCTCGGAACTACCTCACCAAAGAAATAGGAAAAAGAGGGATGCACCCGGGAGGTGGATGCCACGTGCCCTAAACTCAAAATTAAGACAAACTGGCAAAACCAAAGGACCCTGCAGATGATCCTGAAGACCCAAACCCTGGAACAGGAAGGAAGGAAGGGAACCTGGGCAATCCAAAGCGCATCCACAGCCAAAGAGGCCCTGACACGCAGAGAACAGAGGAGAGCCGCAACCTAACAACAACATATGATGCACCCCCAGCCTGACCAACCAAGCATCAACAAACCAAGGCCCCCCTCTGGAAAGCAGCAGACCCATTCAACGCCAAAAAAGAAGGAGACGGCTGCAAATGAACAAACCTACCACCAGGACCAAATGAGCAGAAAAACAATTGTGCCGGAGGAGAGCAAGAAGTTCCCTGACCTGACCCCCAGAGGCCAATACCAACAGGAAAAGTGCCTTATAAAATGAAACCGGAACAGTAGAGGGCCACAACAAACTGAGGATTAGAGAGAAAAGAGAGCACCCAATCCAAAGACCAAGACAGCACAGGTGGCGCATGAGCAGGCCGGAGGTGAAAAATGCATGAGACAGCTTTCAGAACAAAGAAATAACATCAATACCGAACACAAACTGCAGCAGCTCTGCAAGTGCTGCACGATATGAAGTGACAGTATTCGGCATAAGATGACGGTCCTGGAACAACCATGAAAGGAAGGACGAGACAACCCTATCAGAGACCGAAGCACACCTACGCAGTGATAGAAAAACCGGAAGGGCTGCCAGGAAAATTTGTACTGCTACCGAGACAAAGTATGCAGGTGGGAGACCAACAACGAAGCTACCTGCGCACCAAACAAATGATGATAGACCCGAGTCAGAAACCCCAGACACGAAGACTCAAGGAGAAGAATGAACCAGCCTCGTACCGGGACTGGACCGATCTGCTGAAAGAGGCGGTGCCACGGGAAGACCCTCGGGTTCAGACACCAAGCGAGCAGCGCCTGAAACTAAGGCTGGGCCGGCTACTAAGGAGCCAGAAGGACAACTCCCCCACGGGAAGTCTTCAAGCAAGCCAGGACCTGGAGCAACAGCTGAACCAGGGAAAGAGGTACAGGTAACCCCACCTCGCCCAGTCCTGCCTCAACGCATCAAACCCGACAGCCTCACAGTCGGGGAAGGGCGCCACACATACTGGGAGATGGAGACACTGGGAAAGAACCGAATCCCTGGCAAGCAGACATATGGACTGGCTGGGAGCACAAACCATCCAGTCAACGAGGTAGGCCAGAACCCGAACACCTAACAGACATAGGCGGGCCACCACAATCTGAGTAAGGCGTGTGAAGATGCAAGGTGCCAGATTCAAGCCGAATGGAAGGCAATGAAATCTGTAACCATAGCACCCCATAACAAAACCGAGCCAATCCCTAAACCACAGATTAATCAAGACGTGCCGTGCGTAGGAGCGGCGCGACAGCTTCAACAATGCAGACGATGCACGTGCCCCCAAGGGCAGCACACCAGACCTGAGAGGTAGCCCAAGCTCCTCCACATCCACCTCAAGCCAATCTGAGGACAGCTCAAGGAGGAAGAAGAAACACAGGGGCGAAGTCAGCAGGCCACGCGTATGCAAGTCCTCCGTGACCAATGCAGCCGAAGGGGAAGAAACCTGCACATGAAGCTGAATCACACTAACATCCTGTGGAAGGGCAGGGGAGAACAAGCATGCATATGGATGCTCAAATTCACCCCCCCCCCCAACCCTAGGAAAACCTGCAACGCCGTCTGAGCTTCCTGCCACTGAAGTGTGCGGAATCGACAGAACGTATGCCACATCTCTAAGGCAGGCTGCTAACCAGGATGACTCCAAAACTTCATTATGAACCCAGTAAGGATACAAAAGATCCATACACGAAGGAACAAGGATCCATCAGAAAACCATAATATGGGTCGTATGGGAGGTAAGCCACAAAAGCTTCCCGCATCACATTGGACGGGACTCTGGAAGCCGAAAACCTCCAGAAGGACAGAATCAAAGAACCGACGGGGTCAAAGAACTGAACCCGAAGAAGGGTAGACGCCAAATTTAATTCATGCGAGGAGGGAGCGAAAGAGAACCTCACTCCGTGTAACACCAAGCCCCACACTGAGGGTACAAAAATCCAGGTGGGGTCTAACAGGCGCCGAAGACCCCTAAGTCAACCCTCCCCCGCCCCAGGAACTTCACCCCAAGGACCCAAGGTCAAGCCATACTCCAAACCCCCTGCCTCTAAAGAAAAGGCAAGAGCTGCCAAAAAAAAAGACAGGAACGAAAAGGAGGGGGGCTCACTGGTCAGACCCAGAAGTTCCGGCTGGAAGACCAGGCTCAAGTGTCTCACCTGCCACCCCGGAAGGGGACGGCCCCGAGACCGCCCGAGTCTCAACACCAACTAGACCCTGCCCCGACTCTGAAATCTTCAGACGTTTCGGAGCCAGAAACAAGGGGAGAAGAACCGAATGATCAACAGAAGGGAAAGGACAAGGAAGGGGGAACGGAACCAAAGTTGAAGCGACTCCTACCCCCAAGTCTGGGTCTCTAAAACCAAAATAGGGCAGTCTCGGGGCATTCGGAGAAGCAACCAACCTAATGCGTTGCAGCAACCTGAACTTAGCATGCAACGCAGCTGCTGCCTGCACCCTCATATCATGATCAGTAGCTTGGGCGAAATGGAACATGTACAAACAACAAACGTCCCATGACTCTGGGTCAAAAGAATCACCGACCTTACAAGCAGCACGGTGGAGGCACAACTGGTGATAGTCATCCTGAGACAAGAGGACAGAGTAACTATCAACCTTGCACGAAGCGAGAGGGGACTCAAGGGTCTCATCCATCGGACCATGGAGTCCTCCCGTGAGGTTTCCCAAGGCCATTAACACGCTAAGGGAAGCCCAGGCATGGTATTGTGAACCTGCGCCCAAGACTACTAAGCAAATTTCTAAAAGCTGAACCCGTGGGACACGTTCACTTATGGGGGCCTAGCAGGAGGGGTACCACCAAGAACACAGATATGCATATATAAATACCCCCAATTATAGTTAGGGGCAACCAAACAAAGGCAGACCCCCCCTGCCAGGCAGGAAAACAAAAACAAAAGAACACCCCGCAAGAGGACAACATACCCAGGCAGAACAGAACTGGCCACTATAATAGGTGATGACTAGCTGTGCAATACCCTGCACCCCTACCAGTGACGAAAACTATCTCCTACCCAGAGGAAAACGAGGACAACAAAAACACCAGCTGATGCCAAGGACGGCCAAATACTGAGCAGTAAAAGACACAGCGAAGGTAGATCCCAAGGCAACTTGTGGAAGGTGGCCCCAAGCCCCAAGGGCAGTACTTACAGGGCACCGAGGGAAGGAAACCCTAGGCGCATGCAGCCTGAGTACCGTAGAATATTACTCCTGCCTCACACACCACCTGAAGAGACGGACCATGCCACAAGGCATAGAAACTGAGACCAAATCAGGAGCCAGAAGCACAAGACCTCGCCAGTAGCACATCAGCCAAGAACTAAAGGGTGGATCGCCGGTGTGCGAGGGTCTGGGGATCCCCCCTTTTCCCTCTCAAAGAGGAGGGCAGGGGGGGGGGGGTTTGCGGCAACGTGATGACGTCATGCTCGTTTGCTAATTTTCGTTTGGGGGAGTTCTGTCCACTCGTTTGGCTTTCGCTAGCACTATTTTCACCAGAATAGGGGTTTGTTTTGGGGGCGCCTACTTATCTGGGTGCCAGACCCGGTCGATGGCAGACATAGAATGCTTCCAACCACAAGGGGGTTTCTATAGGTAATTGCTTCTCATGCCTCTCTGAGGGGGCCAGGTTCTGGCTCGTGGTTCCTGGTAGGCAAGAACTCCATGCACATCAACTGATGCCAGAAAGCTAATATATCCATATCAGCCAGGATAGGTCTGGAGAGCCGACGGGGCTCCCCCAGAACAAATTATATATTGCAGTACAGTATACATAAATGAGACGAGTTAAAAAATAAGTCTTTTGCTTGCTTAATATAAGTATTGCTTTCATATCCAATAAAGGCAAGGAATAATATAATGCATAGTTTGATAAATAAAAGTAATATTGGTCACAACACAAAAACTTAAACATGCAAATACATAAATTCTAAAAAATTCTTATTTGAGGAATAACAATTAAAATTTTTACCTTGAATATAGGCTATAAGCCCAAGCTGCAGAACAGAACAAACTCTGGGTTAAAAGCCAATGAAAAATTAAAAACCTACCAATTTAAGAAAATTATAAAAAATTCTGAAAAAATAAATACCTCACTCACATTCATCATAAAAAAGCATCTTATTCAGTCATTCTTGAACTTCAATAATGGTACACTATTATACCTAGACTATAAGAAAGATGCTATTAACCATTCTCAGACTCTCACTTCAAAGAACATCTCATTCTTGATACTTACCTACATCATGACTAAAAAAAATTACCAGTAACACTTACCTAAGTCAATCATTATTGCTAACTTTATTACTAATAATTTGAAGGACATCTCTAAAGTCATAGTTATTAATAGATTACTCATCAAGTCAAGCACTTTCACAAGTTACTAAGTCTTGTCATCTATCCCTAAAATCTTTAACAATATTGGCTACAACCCTCAGTACCAGTTTTTCCTTTGATTTTGTATATTTCAAATTAGATATTTTATTTCTTGAATTAAATATGATTAATTTAATGTGCAAATAATTATTATTTATTATTTTAATTAATATGTAAACTAGTGTTATACTTGTCTGCTTAGCCCTTTCTCAAGAAAATGATGACTTGCGTTTATGAGCAAAGACCCCTTCACTGTCAAGATTACTCTGTTTATAGTCAAGGCTTGCATGGCTATTCATGTTTGGCATCACATCTGGGCTTCCAACAACTTTCTGCTCACCATTGTCTTCAATAGAACTTGTACTCAAGTTATTGGAAAAAGATATATTGCCAATTTCTGATATCAAAGGTTTCTTATCATTCTTCTGTGTAGAGTGAACATTGACATTGCTTTCTAATGCTGGCACATCCTGTAAATTTTGGAAACTGCAACTTGGCTTTATACTGATTTGACTATGGTCACTGATAGGGGTTCCAGGTACTGAAATTGAATTCTTGAGGCCACCATTAGTAGCTGCTGAAGATTTATTCTTTTCTTGATCACTCGTCATTAGATTCTGTATAGCCATTTCAATATCTTCACTTTCCTCAAAGGCATGTACTGTAGATCCATTTGCCATACCTGAAAACTGAAAAAATAAAAAATAAAAATGATTATTTTTAAATTCAACACATTCTAATTATTAACATACTTCATCATCAATCTGACCCACCATTTCTAATATGGGATCCCTTTATCATGTAGATCTGTAACATGATTTTATATAAACATGAATCTTAGTTCAATATTCAATGTATCAGTACCAATTAAAATTTTTATTGGTTACCCCAAGAACTGCAGTTTCATTTGTTGACAAACCAAAAAATTTTATTTTCATTGTGATAATGTTTCACAAAGACTTTCTTATTTTATTTTAGTTACAGGTATTGCAACCTATAATTTTTTTCTGCATGTCCCATCATGCTGCACCATGGTGCCTGATGCACTCACATTACAGGCTTTAAGTTAAATTATTTTAAAAGCTGGTAGATTAACCACATGGGCCTACAATAGTAATGCCATAGTAATGCCCTAGATTGTTTGAATTGCAGATATGTCACAATAATGTTGCTGAAGATATGATGACCAAACCACACACCAGAGGATGAAGAAACAACGATGTCTCAGTCTGTCCTGGACCATTATCGAGTTGTATGTCTTGATAATGGTCTTGATAATTGAATTGATAATTCAATTCAATTATCAGTTGATCCTAGATCAACTGAACCTAGATCAGTCTTGATACGAATTGATAATTGTTTATATATTTATTTATTTATACATGAGTTTTTACATTCTTGTACAGCCACTAGCATGCGTTGCATTTTGGGCAAGTCCATAATCCTAATATTCCCAGGAACACGACCCCCGCTAAATCATTAAACAACCAGGTACCCATTTTACTGTTGGGTTAAACAGATGCTACAGTTAAGGATTTGCGCCCAGTAAATCCTCCCCGGTCAGGATACGAACCCAGGACAAAGTGCTCGTGAAATGTCAGGCGAGCATCTTACTACTATGCGACGGGGGCTGGTCCAGGATGAACCAAAAATCATCATTTCTTCATCCTTTGGGGTGTGGTTTGGTCATTATTGTTTGAATTCTGATAAATCTGCATTATTTATGTTTACTGGATAGATCACCAGTAAATGAGTTGAGTTACATCAACTTGAAGTTGTTTAGTAATTGACAAAAACTCGAGGGTTTTTTCCAGCATTTATTAGTAATAAAAGTTAGAACAGCTGAATTATTCAACACAAACAGGATGAAAATTAAAAAACCTGAATGTTATACTTTTTGCCCTTAAAGGTAATTTTGAAATCTTTTGTGATCGCTCACATTCTATATACCAATACATTAAATATATATGGCATACATCAATTAAATATAAAACACAGTGTAATCAATCAATTTACAGGCAAAACTTGCTCTTTGTGTAACGTAAATATTTCATCTAATGTGTGTCAACATTTAACACACAATGTTATATTATTTACTGGTATAAAAAATACTAAATTACCATATAGATTACCATAATACTCGATTACCATATATCATAAAGTATGAAACATTAACTACTATATATTGATTTACTGATCAATATTCAATATATACACATTTTTGTAACTAATATGTGCAAACATAAACCACAAAACAAAAAACTAAGCAAGCAAACACACACACACACACACACGTGCACAAATTATAAAATTAGAAGCTAAAGCACAAGGGTAAACTATCACACTTCAAGTAAACTCTTCCCAGTAATGCATTTCCATTTTAAACAGTTCTTAAATCTCTCTCAAATTTACACGCACATAAACGTACATGTGCGTTACATGTACATGTACGAACATGTACAAACGTGCATGTACATTATGTACAAATGTACATAATGTGATTTACACAGATTTACAACTACAGTACGTGTTAATCACAAAGAAATTAACACGTGATGAATATTATGATGTTGTCGACCACAATGAAAGAAATTAAATAGGAAATTCCTTCAGTACTTTCGTATTGTTACATCTTCAGAAGGATGTATATTATAAGTCATTAGTGGATATATTGGCAGGAATGAGGCAAGGCAAGATGAAAAAAATGTCTGTTCACATATATAAGAGGAAACTGCAGAAGGCCCTTGATCAATACATGAGAGTTCCAGGAGGTAATAATACTAATGAGATAGTAATGAGATATTAAAGTATCGAGATAACTGTGTTTTAACCACTTAACTGCGCCAACCGAGTATTCTCGGTCAGCGGAAACTGCCCCAACCGAGGAAACTCTTTTTGATTTTTCGGTACCAATTCTAAATGTGTACAAGGTTGGTTGTGTACGAAATGGACTCTTAGGACCTCCAGTGAGAGGCAGCCATCTTCGAAAAAATTCCCAGAATGCCCTAGAGCTGCTGGCTGGGTTAGTACTGAATGAGCAACCATGGGTGGCGCACGCGCCTCTGGCTCCCAAACACCTGTCTGACGCGGTGTTGAAAGATAAAGCTCTGTCGGTGAAATTCAAACCTTATTGTTTGAAGAACATAAGGGTCATAATATTGGTGAAGCTAGGTGCAATAAGGACCTAACACAAAAGTCGGATGCAAACGATACAGCACCTATGAGGACGATACAGCGAGCGTATCCAGTTGTAGCTCTGAGCGTCACCCTTGCAATCCTATGCTTTCTCCAATTTATTTAGATGATATATAGATGAATTCGCTTTCTGCATTCAGTGACGATGCATCTGATACAAGTAGCATAGATGAACAGTGTTAGTGGCTTCCATGGTGGTGTTTTCCATAGATATTTTCAAGAATACCTAAATCTCTTCTTGACTGATGGACACACACTGAGGCTAGCTTAATCCCCTCCAGACTGATGAACACTCTTCGAGACCGGCTGAATCTCTTCCTGTGTGGGCCCATACAAAGCGATCTTTTCAAGACTACCTTACAAATTGATCTTTTCCTATAATCTTTTCAATACTACCTTATGCTTTACAAGCTTGGCTACATACAACCTACAGGTACTAAAGCCAAGGGTGTATGTGAGTGCGTTATTTGCTAGCACACAGAACGAAGAAACAGGAAGCGAAAATCTATCTGTCCCTGGTGCAACAAGAGCAAAGTTGCACTGTGGACCATGGACTACTTCAATGATTATTACTCACTGCTGAAGTACTGAGTGAGTAATAAAGTACTGAGTGAGTAATAAAGTGTGTTACTGTGTAAATAGTGTGTGAAATTGTACATATTGTAATTTTAGTGAATTTTTAACAGGTAATATTGGAACAATAAACATTTATTGTGGACACATTACTGACACATGTATCACAATTCCATGGAACATTATGAACGTTCTACTGTATACATATTGTAAAGGACACAAATATGCATCATATACGATAAAAAAACAAACAAAACCGAATTGGAAATACATAGAACAAATAATTGAAAATATATTTGTGGCAACACTCAGTGCTTGAATGACCCGGGCGACTGTGTCTGGGTGTTTCACGCACGGGCGACCAGCCCCTGATGATGTCACAGCACACCTTGTCCACGTCCCCACAGCCAAAATAAGTGGAATTTGGTTTTTATTTTTACATAGGCATGTTCAAGGAAAGGAATTTATCATTTTACAAAGAAAAATTGTTTTTTTGAACACTTGGTTTCATGCACACAGGGGTAATTTCACAATAAACTTTGCGTATCACAGTGGTTAATTGATCAATAAAAAAAAAACAGCTTTGATTGTAACGAAACTCCATTTTCTGGGTGAGACCCGGAAGTTCCCCAGAGCTATCCCAGCTGATATGAATGTATTATACCATGGCATCAGTCAAAGCAAATGGAGTCCTTAGGCCCACCAGGGATCACGAGACAGAACCTGGCCCCATCAGAGAAGCACGAGGAGCAAATGCCTATAGAAACCCCTGTGAGGTTGGAAATCTGTTGATGGCAGTCTATGTCTGCCATCAACCGGGTAAGACACCCAGAAAGGTATGTGCCCAAAGCAAACCCTATCTGGTTAAAAAATTGCTACTGAAAGCTGAACCGTTAGACAGAACTCCCCAAAAATAAAAATGAGCAAACGAGAAGGACGTCACAACTATCACCGCGCCGCTGTCTGTGCAGCTCCCCCCGCCCTGGGAGGGGAAAAGGGGGAGCTCCAGACCCTCTGTGCCAGCTATCCACCTCTAGTTCTGAGGCTGGATGTCAAAACCTGTGAAAACCGCCAACCGGAGGGAGGGAGGGAGGGTTGCAGTGGAGCCTCTGGGTCTCGCCCAGAAAATAGCATTTCATTACATTCAACACTAGGTTTTCTGGGGGTGAGCTCCTTTGGCTCCCACGAGCTACTTAACCAAAGATAACACAAGAAGGACTTACCTAGGAGGCGGTCGCCATTCGCTCCTCAACTCGAAGTCGAGACAACTGGCTGCAACCGCCGACCCAATGTGACAGATGCCCGACAGGGGCCAGGAATACTGCCTAGGTAGTGAGCTGCCAGTACCCTGTTCAACCTCCAAAAACCCTGTGCCTGAATATCAGCCCAAGACATATTACCAAAGACAGCAGCCAATACAGCAAACTTATGAACGTCATGGGCACAAGGATAGACCACATGCTGATTGGACCAAATAACCCTGCGGACGACCTGGGAGATCCGAACCCTGGGAAGAAGGGAAACCGGGTCAACCCAAAGCGTGTCAAGGGCCCCCGAGGCTGTGGCACGTAGGTAAGGCCAAAGAGCCGCAACAGGACAACACATGATGCACCCTGACCAAACCAACCTAGCATCAATAACCCAAGGACCCCTCTGGAAAGCAGCAGTCTCATTCTTTGCCAGAAAAGAAAGAGACGGCTGCAAACGAAAAAAATCTACTACCAGGACCAAAAGAGCAGAAACCTCTGCACCAGAGGAGAGCATGAAGCTCCCAACCCGACCCCAAGAGGCCAATGCCAATAGGTAGAAAGCCTTTGCAAAACAATCTTGAACAGAAGGGGCCACAACAAACCAAGGAGAAGAGAGAAAAGAGCACCCGGTCCAATGACCAGGACAGCTCAGGCGGCGCATAATCAGGCCA